GAGTACTGCATGTAACCCTCCAAAAGGCTCTTACCTGCAATTTCCCTACTAATCTGTATTGTACATCTTTATAAAAGGCCAATGTGACTACAAAATCCTTTACAGATTTTAACCATTTGCCATTTTCTAATAAATATTAATATTATGGTTTCCTTAAACTTCCACCTGAGTCACAGATCTGTGGTTAAGTGGGCGTATTATTTGTGTAATTCCTTTCCTGTCCAACTAGAACTATCTTTATAGGTTTCAGGGTTGTCTTCCCATTTCCAGATGATGAGGTGCTCTTTAAGAAATAATTTTATTACCTAACCTCAATTTAAACCTTTGGACAGCTTTCTCTCTGCTCTATTTCTTGGTCTTCACTAAGATGTTATGCAATGATGTTATCTTCCAACCCTCCGAAGAAAAGCAGAAAAATCACATCACTTGCTAGCCAATTCATTGCATTTATTTGATTTTGTGTTATCAGATTGAAAGAGCGGAAATACGCAAGGATGTAAACAAAAAAGTAAATTAAAGGATAAATTATTCTTACATAGATAATACAGTAAAATGTTTAAAGGTTATCTAAGTTCATAAAAAGGAAATTAAAATGTATTATTCACCTTCTTTTTAACTTTATGTACAAAATGTGAATAATGTATTTTCTTAATTACAGCTTGTTCTTTCAGTTTAGCCCCAGGGGACCCGAGCAGGCTTACTTTCTGTAGTTATAAAGTATATCTTTTAACAAAATCTGCAAAGGAAACCAGTAATTTCATCATTGCTCTAACCAATTCATTGAGACCCTTAGGCTAATTTATTACTGCAAAGGCAAAGAGAAGTTTTTTCTTACACTGTAGTTAGTTAAACAAGGAAAAACACCCAAATTCTGCTCTGCTGTGTTATGTTAATAATACCAAGAAAAAAAAAAAACAGTCTGGACATGTTTTTTCTTTTCCTCCACCAATTACACGCTACTCAGCCCACTGTAACATCTGTGCCTGTAATAATGTAACACCTGCACCAGAAGAGTCGCTCCACATTTAGTGTGTTTTCATGTTTGCCCACAAAGCCTGCCGTACTGTACTTACATGGTTGGAATTTGAAAGTTGGCCTCCCTGTCGAGACGGTAGGCCACCTGGAGGGGCGTGGAGCCATCCACCTTCCTCACTCCTTTCAGGGGAACCACGTCCAGCTGGAACTGGGTGATCAGATCGAAACCTGTTGGAGGAGGGCGTGCTGGAATTAGAGATACCTTAACCGCTAGCGGTAGGGGAATTATCACACACAACACATTTTGTGGGTTTATTTCAGAAGTGGATATTCTATATTAGAAACAGATGATGTTTCCTATCATATCCAGAAAGAATGCAATAAAAACCTTCCTTAATGAAACCACAAAGCAGTTTGGTCCATATGTGTTGGGAAAAATCATTACTGCTGCAGTACAGTGAGCAATTACAGTCTTGCTGAGCTGTTCCAAATAAAATTCTTACAACTCAAGTAGAAAGTTTACTAGATAGATAGATAGATAGATAGATAGA